CTACATGTGGTAGCTCATAAATGTATAGGAAATGTAAACTCATGCAGTCATATTTGTCCTAAATTGGGAGCAGTGAAGTAATTTGTTACTTTGAGATTCTCAAAATGGCCACAGATGGGTTGTGAGGGCTTTGATGATGTCAAGATAAGATGGATTGTAGGGTGGCAGGTATTTGAAGAAGGAGAGGTTAAAATGGTTTGAGTTGGAGACATGATAAATCCAACAAAGGTTTATTTAGAAATCTTATTGGAATCTGTTAACATTTTTAGCAAATTTTCTCTAAGGGCATCTGGTGAAGGGGAGCAATTGTAGGAAGGGATTTTTTAAAAAAAGATTTATATATGTATTTGAAAAAGTCACAGAGAGGCAGAGGCAAAGAGATGTCTTCTATCTGCTGGTTCACTCCACAGATGGCCAACGGCCAGAGCTGGGTTGATCCGAAGGCAGGAGCCAGGAGCTTCCTCTGGGTCTCCCATGTGGCTGCAGGAATCTAAGGACTTGGGCCATCTTCTACTGCTTTCCCAGGCCACAGCAGAGAGCTGGATTAGAAGTAGAGCAGCCAGGACTCGAACTTGTGCCCATATGGGATGCTAGCACTGCAGGCCACAGCTTTACCTGCAGCCAGGGCTTGATCCGGCATCCATGTGGGATGTTGGCACGGCAGGTGGAGGCTTAGTCCACTATGCCACAGTGCCAGACCTGTTGCAAGGAATTTGAAAAGAGGGTGCTGTTCACCTGCATAGTTGTATGGCCTCTGCAGCTCACTCTGTCTGTGGAGAGTGCCAGGAGTGAGCACAGTGTCACTGTTTGATTTTCCAGAGAATGCGCTTTCTAGTCAGAAGCTAGTTCTGTAGACATCAGGGAAGTTGATGTTGGGAAATGGGAGCTGTTTCCTTGGAGCTTGTGGATACTCGTTTGGAGAAGCAGACATCCAGAAGTAACTGACGTGAGTGTGGCTGTTGCAGGAGACAGACTGAGATCTTGCGACTTTCTAAGACTTCACTCCACCCTGGACCATAGGACCCTCTTCCACGCTGCCTTCACATCCTTGTTTCTCAGGGTGTAGATGAGTGGATTGAGCAGAGGGGTGACGACGCAGTAGAAGAAAGACATGAACTTGGCTTGAGTACTGCTGGCAGGGGGCTGGAGATACATGTAGATGGCTGGCCCAAAGTACATGACGACCACTGCCAGGTGGGAGCTGCAGGTGCTCAGTGCTTTGTATCTTCCTGTGGCTGAAGGTAACTTCAGTACAGCCCTCGTGATGAATGTGTAGGAGATGAGCACGCACACGGGAGCCAGCAGTGCAAAAGGGACAGCTCCCAAGGCCAGGGACAGGTTGTTGGCAGTCGTGTCCCCACAGGCCAGCTTGATCAGAACAGGTACCTCACAGAAGAAATGGTCCAGGGTGTGGTGACCACAGCGGGGAAGCTGTAGGGCGAGTGTGGCTTGGAGCAGGGAGTTGGCCAGGCCACTGAGCCAAGTTGTGGCTGCCAGCTGCATACACACCCGGGGACGCATGATGAGCATGTACCGGAGGGGCCGGCAGATAGCCATGTAGCGATCCAGAGCCATCACGGCCAGCAAGGCACATTCGGTGCAGCCCGTCCAGTGGAAGAGGTAGGCCTGTGTGATGCAGCCCCAGGCAGTGATTGTCTTCTCTGGCCCCCAGAGGTTGGCCAGCAGCTGTGGCACAATGGCGCAGGAGACACAGAGGTCCAGCACAGACAGGTTGTCCAGGAAGAAGTACATGGGGGTCTGGAGTCTGGGCTCTACCAGGGAAAGGAGGATGATGGAGCTGTTTCCCATCAGAGTGATGATGTAGGAGACCAGGACCACCCCAAAGAGAGGAATCTCCAGCCATGGATGCTCTGAGAAGCCCAACAAGATGAAGGTGCTGGAAAAACTCACATTTTCTCCTTCCATGATACCACCTTGTGTATGGTTGGACAGAAAGAAAGTTTTGAAGACAAATGTAAAGACTCGCATTTCAACCACTGCAAGGCCACATTCCCCAACCTTCAGCTATGTTAGGAGAAGCTCTGTGGTGCTGGGATGATCATGTGTAATGCTTTCCTGGTAGCAGACGTTGGAGTAAGAGGGAGCAAGCCGGAATGTCCTAGTCAGGAGCAGAAATTCTACATGGAGCCCAGTCCTCTCTACTCACCTGGGACTCTGTCCATATGAAGCCTGACTCTCTCCTCTCTCTCTCATTGTTATCTTTCCCTCCCTGACTGCTCTTTTTTCTCTTTCCTCACCTCACTCCCTAACATTTCCTTTCAGCCCCGTTGGGTGAAGGACACTCGGGTGCTCAGAGGGACAGAGGTTGGGTTTGCTATTACAGCCGCATAACTGTGGAGTATTTCTGCAGGGCAGAGACCATCAAATGAGTTTAGTTTATGCAATATTCCTTCTTGCCTGCTCCACTTATTAAAATGGTAAATACAAGTAACATAATATTTGCTGTGTTAGCCACGTTTAATTGCATAGGTGGTTCATTCATGCCATTGTGCCATCCTGACCACCACACATCTCCAGAATCTGTATTTAAATGGCAAGTCTCAGACCGTACTTTTCAAGAGCAACTGCCTGCTGTTTGCTCTCCCTAGAGCCTGGCATCTACCATTCTGCTTTCTGTGATGCCGACTGCCCTCAGTGCCCGTTATGCGAGTCTGCCCTTGGCTTGTTTCACTTCCACAGTGTCAGGGTTCACGCACACTGCAGCATGTCAGCCCTTCCTACCCTTCCTAGACTGGACAGCACTGCCCAACACAGTGTGCTCAGGTGGGCATTCGTCTGTCAGACTTAACCATTCCACTTCAAAACAATGCTGCAAGACAACACACACTTTTATCTGTCTCTTTGAAATAATTAAATAAACCTGAAAAGGCAGGGAAACTCTCCGTGCCAGCAAAGAGATACCTGCCCACCAGGGCTGTGTGGCACAGATAGTTGTGTTTCTAAAGGAAGACGTCTGCCTGATAGGTTGAAGTGCATGCTAATGAGGTGTGCTATGTGAGCCAATCAGGGAGTCAGCAGAGCCTGATGTGGCCTGCACCGGGTTAGTGACCTTACCTGGAGCTCATGTTACATAGGGAAGTTAGCAGAGTGCTCAGACAGGTCCTTGGAGGGCAGGACTGTTCAGCAGATGCAACATCTGAAGATTACATTGTGTGTGCTTCTCCCTTCTCCCCTTCTCCCGGGGCTCCTGGAGGGTCAAGTCCTGTGTGTTTCTTCCTTTCCTTTCCAGCGGACCCTTGCTTAGGTGAGGTTTCAGGCTGGAGTCTACACTGATCCATCTGGTGCTCGGCCCAGAGCAGAGTGAGCTGGACCTGGAGGTGGTGGTGGTGGCATTTCTGTGCAGGCAAGCCATGTGGGCCACAAGGAAGCAACGCCTTTCCCTTGTGGTGGGGGTGGAAGGATGGAAGTTTCAGGGGGAAAACACTGAAAACCAGAGAGGCTACTTTTGCACCTAACAAAGTTATATGCCTTTCAGGTCTATGTACCTGTTTCAGAGAGACAGATAAAAGTGTATGTTACCTTGTAGTGAGGTTTTGAAGTGGGAATGGTTAAGTGCAGCTGACTGAAGGATGTATGTCACTTCACATGGTTAGCATTTTTACCATCGGACACGCATTCCCACGGGTGCCTCGCAGAGTTAGTGCATCGCAGAAATGCGAAGCCGAGCGTGTTTTGGTGCAGGAAGGTCCTAGCATCCATGCATAGCTTTCTCGTAGCAGGCATCCTCTGTGAATTATATGAGGACCATCTGTGGACACAGTGGAGCTCAAGCCAGCCTTCAAGGAGGAAGATCCCGGTCACCGACAACACAGGTGAGCCTTGAGGCCAGGCGCTCAGCGACACACAAAGCCTGTTTCTCTGAGGATTTTCCCCTGTGCACCAGCCCCGCTGGAAGCAGTTTGATCTCTGTTGGATGACCCAATATAAGGATTCTTCATGAAACTCAGAGCCCTGGGCTGAGCGCCTGGCACTTGTGGTTTGCTACTGAGCTCCCTCTATTGGCGAGGCACCTGCCTAACCCAGTCGCCTGCATTGTCTTCAGGAAAAGTGTAGTCTGGGTTTTATGCTTCTGTTGCTTCCAAGCCCACAGGGACCCTCCCAATCTGCCTGCAGCACCCAGGCCCAGCTCTGACCCAGCAGCTATGCCACCCTGCGCTTCCTCTCTCACCAGCCTCATGCTGACCGCTGGCTCCCACCACCTTCCCAGCCTCCCGCTCTGGCCTGGCTCCTTTGCCCATAGTGGTTTCTCTCTGTCCTCCCACATCCCACTCCACCAGCGCTGGCATCACTTCCTCCGTGACAAGGGCCTGCTTTCCACTTTCTGTCCTTCCACACTCGCAGTCAGCCTGGGTCCCCTCTTCCGCCACTGAGCTCCTGAGGAGGTTGATCTGTGGGTAAGCGTTCTTTGCCTCCCTAGCACCTGCTGTGGCTGGAGTGTGAACCACAGAGCTGGCCTATGCAGTCACTCACATGGCAGCGTGTAGCCTGTGTCCATCCAGTCAGTGGTTCCGTCTCCACCCTGGCTGCATTGGAGCTCCCGTCCAGCTGAGCTTGTCTGCTTCTTTAAACCTCGCCCACAGTCCTTGCTGCCTCAGCCCTCTTGGAAATGACATTGTCCTTGTACTAACTTCTCTTCCGTTTCTGCTGTGTTGTATGTGACACCGGCACAGCACTTGCTGTTTCCCAGGCCCTGGTGTGTGCTGAGAGGGGCACGGCTCTTCTATCTCTGCACTGGTGCCTTTTCCTTAGCCACCAACTTCTAAAAATGCATATGCGTTCCAGGCATCATCTTTTCTGGGACCTGGACACTTCTTTGGCCTTGGGGAAGACAGGCTTAATGATTGCATTTGGAGCCCAGTGTTTCCCGTGCCCACGAACTAGAAGAACCGCCCGGGGCTGAGCACATTACAGAACCTCCAGCACCGCCCTGCGTGGCAGTCATTGGCACCAAAGTGAGTGTGGTGGCACCTGCCCGGGTCTGACCCCACCCCGTCCCCCTCACTTTACCTGGGATAGAAGAAGCAAGTGCTGCTGAGGTGAGGACCTAGCCGGACTGGGGGAGGATCCCAGGCCAGGAGGTGTGGATTTGCTTCAGAGGCTGGGATTTCATGGAGAGATGGGTGGGACCAGCCCTTTGCAGCCCAGTGAGTGAGGATTTGTTACCGTGGGAGGAGTCTCCTGAGGTCTGTCTTGGCCCACTGAGACCTGAGCTCTGATAATTGGCTCAGGGGCTATGTTTGTGGCAGGGAGCATGCTGCAGGAGTTTCTGCTCTCTTCAGGATGGCATTGTCCCTGTGGAGTGAGCCTGAATGAGCCACCACACTCCAGGCTGTCGGCAAAGGTGCAGGCGAGAGGAGCGGGCACAGCAGCTGAGGCCCCACATGCACTGTTCTGGGAGGCAGAAAGAATGGAAGCAAACTGGTCATGAAATGAGTTGGAGACAAGGACATCAGAATCCTTGCAACAGAGGAATATTTGTTTCTGGCATTCTGCTGGATTTGCCAGATATCTTTGATCACACAGTTCTCTAGGGTTAGTATTTAGTTTCTGTTGTACCATGACTACTCTGGGAGAGGAAATAAAGCATCCATGTCCCTTAAAGCATCATTACCGTATTTCAGAGAGGAATATAGGCTTGATTCCAGAGGTATAAAGACGCGAATATCCTTCTACCCGATGTTGATTTCCCGCTGAGTGCTAGCAGTATTTCATTTTGATTTTCAAAGTCATCACTGGCAAATAAAGCTTTAAAAAATCACCACTGGCCATAAAATTTTGCCCCATTTCTTCATAAACATTTTATTTGAGGGAGAGAGAGAGAGAGAGAGAGAGAGAGAGAGAGAAAGAGAAACACCCATACATTGGATTTACTCCCTAAATGCCCACAATGGCCCTGGGCTGGACCTTGCCAAAGCCAGGAGCCTGGAACTCCATCCAGGTCTCCCAAGTGGGTTGCAGGGAACCAGGTACTTGAGCCCTCACTTTTGCCTTCCAGGGTGCAAATTGTCAGGGAGCTGGATTGAGGATGGAGCTGGAACTTCACCCAGGCATTCCAATGTGGGGTGAGGGTGTTCCAGGTCCTGTCTTAAGAGCGGTGCCAAATGCCCTCCTTGCCCTGTTTCCTTAAATCAGGCAGAGAGGAGGAGCTGTAGCTCAAGGAGCTATAGTATGGGAGTCATGCCGTTTCTAAAGAATCTGGCAAAAAGAAGAATCTGCTATGTCTCTTGGGGATGAGACCCAGACTCCTCCTGCAACACTGAAGCCAAAACTCCTGTGACAGTTTTACAAAAGCAAGAAATTGCATGGAGAATGTGACTATCAGTCACTCCAGAAAATGACAATGCTCTGGTCCTGTTCGCAGGTCCTGCCGCTGGCTCCAGCCTCAGAAAATCTGCAGCTTGACCCGTGGCCATTTGCACTGTCATTCTCAAGATTTGCTCAGAATCAACAGCTTTAGCAGTGATTCATAACTAATAGCTGTGTGTGAGCCCTGTGAGAATATTTTACATGTGATCTTTTCCATTTCATCATAACTGTCCTTTGAATTAGATTCTATTATGTGTACATATTACTGATGACAGGATAGATCAGATAATCTGCAAAAGTCATGAAACTATTAAAGCAAAGATGGGATCATAGCTTGTTTGTTTCCAAAGCCTTTATACCAAAGCACCCAGGATTCACTGGGCAGCCCAGCTGAGGCTCCCTTCTCCCTCTCCAGCAGGCCCAAGAGCAGCAGCTCCTCTGGACTTCCCTTCACCTCCCCTCACCTCTGCATGGTGGCTCCAGTTTCAGATACAAGTCGGTGCAGGTAATCCCTTGGTTAGTGGCCCCGAGCCTTCCTGTCTTCAGGAGCATCTCCAGGTGAGCATGTGGGTAGAGGAATCCAGAGCTCATTCTATCAGCTGCGGTCATTCTCATCTCCACGCATACATCTGTGGGTTCTGACCACCCAGGAACAAGATACACTCAGGCCTCAAACAGCCACACAGACATGGCCGACCTGCCAGAGGACAGCTGGCCCATCTGACAGCCTGGCCCTGCCTGCTGACAAGTCTCCTGCGCACCATCTAAACCCCTGTTCCTTCCTGTGCACAGCCCAGGAGCCCTGTCTGTGCACCCTGCAGGCCCAGCTCCTGCACACCAGCAAGTCCTGGCCTTTCTGTGTACCCTGCCAAGTCCCACAATGTTGCCAACTTGGAACCAGTGCTAGCTGGAAATATCCAACATGGCTGCAGAAAGTGTCCATCCTCCCCATGACCTTCAGGTCATTATAATAAAATTACCCTGAGGGGCATGTCTCCTCCCATCAGGCACCTGACACCATGACACTTCTGACATTTCTTAGAAAAGGCACAGAAGTGAGCCCCCCCTTGGAGTGGTCAGTTGGGCTTCACCCCAATGTGCCTCCCAAGAGTGCAAAGGGGAGCCTGGCCTTGCCAGAGGGCTTTTCACTCCTTGGGTTTTTTCACTGGTGGAGGCTTTTCCTCAGGGAAGGGTTTTCTCTTTGGGGTCTGCTTCAGCTTCGGCTGTTTTTTCATGTATGTTCTTTTTTTTTTTTTAATGATTGTACTTGAAAGGCAGAGTTACTCACACACACAGAGAGAGAGAGAGAGAGAGAGAGATTCCATCTGCTGGTTCACTCCCCAGTTGGCTGCAACAGCTGGAGCTGGGCTGATTCGAAGGCAGGAGCTGGGTGCAGGGGCCCAAGGACTCAGGCCATCTTCCTCTGCTTTCCCGGGCCATAGCAGGGAGCTGGATTGGAAGTGGAGCAGCCAGGCTTGAACTGGCGCCCATATTGGATGCCGGCACTGCAGGCAGCGGCTTTACCTGCTCCACCACAGTACCGGCCACGCATGCCCTCCCCTCCCCCACCCTCAGCCTCTGTTCTTACACGTTCTTGGTGCATGAGTTTGTGCTTTTGTGCATAATTCCTGCCTCCAACTTTGAATCCCTTCACCTTTGGAGGGATAACTGCAGTCTGCCCGGCTAGGAGCACGCAGCCACTAGATGGCGACACTAGAATATCGCTCAGGTACTGCAAAGACCATTGAAAGGGACCCTGGAGGGGCTCCCAGCAGCAGTGTGTGCGGGCGTCTCCCTCCAGGCGGCGGGAGGGTGCAGGACCCAAGCCCGAGTTTCTCGTCCAGTTCTGAAAGGAGAACAGATCACGGAGGACTGGGCGGCCAGGCCTGTGGACGTTGGTGCTGGCCCCTCTTTTCCGCAAGCTGTGCTGTGGACCTTGTGGCTTCTCTCTGCTGGAGGACATGGCCTCAGACGCTGTTGCCACAGAAAGGAAGGGGGCCGTGGTAGTGTCTCCGGTTTTAGATAGATCCACCTGTTTTCAAAGTCCTAGGAAAGACAGAGCTGATCCATTGAACAGTTATTTGTATACTTTGAAAAAAACCCTTAAGATGGTAATTTGTGGTCTGCAGAATTACAGTTTGAGTGCTTACTAATTATCTTCCACCTCAATAAATCCCATGTTATTTAATGGGAAGAGTTCGGAACAAGGTTGCCACAGGGAGCCGGTGCTCATTTGGTAGCCACTGCATCCCAGCCGCTTGACACTGGAATAACTCACAGTGCCGGTGGCAGTTAATTTCTTCACACGCAAAACTGAGGGCTAAAGTTACCTATTAAAACTATGCAAGATTACATTTCAAAAATTTATTTTACTTTTAAGTGATGCATAAAAATTGGATGTGTTTCAATGCTTGTAAACATTGTAGAACATTCAAATCAGGATGAGCATATCCATGTTCTCAAATATTTGCAAGATTTTATTTTTGAAATTTTATTTTTAATTTATTTGAAAGGGAGAGAGAGAGGAGAGGGGAGATAGAGGAGGGGAGAGAGAGAGAGAGAGAGAGAGAGAGAGAGAGAATATCTGTCTCCTATCCATTGCTTGGCTTCCCAACTGGGGCCAAAGCCAGGAGCCAGGAACTCATTCTGGGTCTCTCACGTTGGTGGCAGGGACTCAGTGACTCTCATGTGGCAAGTACCTGCAGCCACCCAGAGTCTGTATTAGCAGGAACTTGGTAACAGGAACCAGAGCCAGGACGAACCCAGGTACTCTGATATGGGATGTGGGTGTCTTTAGTATTAGGCTAAACTTCTACTCCAATTGTAATTTTTTAATCAATAAAGTAAACAGCTTGGATCCAAGAAAATTGTATATATTCTATTTTCTTTTGCTTTTCAAGAGGTTCCTATCTTGACTTAATGCAGTTAAAAAAGCTAAGTGGGGGCCGGTGCTGCGGCATAGCAGGCTAAGCTTCTGCCTGTGGTGCCAGCTCCCGTATGGGCACCGGTTCTAGTCCCAACTGCTCTTTATCTGATCCGGCTCTCTGCTAATGTGCCTGGAAAAGCACTAGAAGATGGCCCAAGTAATTGGCCCCTTGCACTCTCGTGGGAGACCCAAAGAAGCTCCTGGTTTCAAATCAGCTCAACTCCGGCCGTTGTAGCCATCTGGGGGAGTGAACCAGGGGTGGAAGACCTTTCTCTCTCTCCCTCTGTTTGTAACTCTACCTCTCAAACAAGGAAATAAAATCTTAAGAAAAAAAAAGCGAAGTAAAACCTTGCAATCTAATTGTGTTTTGGAAGGCCGCCCTTCCCACCAGGTGCTTCTGTCTGGGAGGTCTCCTGCGGGAGGTGGGACTGGCAGCTGTGGCCCCAGGAAGACCGCGTGTAGCGAGCATGGGGGTGGGATGGAGTTGCAGACGCTGGCTGGTCACCTGTGCTGGGCGGGACTGGCTGATTCCAAGCCTCCTGGTGTGGCTGTAGCCAAGGAGGCGGCAGAGACAGGCTGGGTGGAGCGCATGAGGAGTGACTTCTCCTTGGCTTCTCAATGTGGCGAGGGCAGACCCCAGAGCTTCCTGTGCCTGTGTCCCCCGCCCCATTCTTTACAAGCCGCAGGTTCAGCCCTTTGGGGTTGGTGCTTTCCCACACTCCCATGGCTTTCATTTTTTCAATCAGGGACCAAACGAAGAAACTGATCAACTTCCGTTTTTCTATGAAACCCAGAAATGGATTTTCTCTTCCAGAAAACCTGAGCCCTTGTTTGGGACCTGGCCACACTACCTCCTTGGGCCAGGGGCCCTCGAGAGCACCTGTCCCCAAGGCCTTGTCTCTGCAGACACACTGGTGGCAGCTTCCCTCGAGACCCCAGGCTAGTCCAGATTCCCAAGGTGATGATGCATTGGAGTCATCCCAAAGAGCTTAGCGTGAACGCTGTCCCCGGGCCCAAGGCTGTGCCACCACCCCCTTGACCACAGAGGCCACTACACAGTGAAGGGTAAGGCGCTGCCCTGGACCCTGGCTGGCGCTTTGCCCAGATGCCACCTCCAGCCATCTACACCATACCCAGTCCTTTCTCTTGCAAACTCTTCCCCTCCAGGGCTCATTAAGGCAGGATGGGGCCTGGGGCTGATGGGACTGTCCTTACTTTTGTGCTCAGTCCCCCATGAGAATACTCACTGGAACTTCCTTGGGGCAATCCAGCAACTGAATGGGACTGGCATTAGCTGCCTTATCTTGAGCTATGGGATTGGAGCGAGGAGGGCTGACGCCCCCTGGGAAGTCTCAGGTCCTCTGTGTGCCTCTGGTCCCCTGTGTATGGATGCGTGGCTGTCTCTGTGGCGGCTTCCCTCAGGATTTACATGTGCCAGGGCACCAGACAGCACAGAGCTTCTGCTTGCAGTTCACAAATGCACCAAATCCCAGCAAAGCCAGGGCAGATCAGAAATCAGTGTGTGCTGCCTGTTTCCGCATCCTGGGCTGGCCCCGTCTTCTCGCTAAGGCTTCCCCTGAGGCCTCTGGGTCTCTTAAACTGAAACGACAGTGGAGCTGAACAGGAAGTTCCGTGTGCTTACGGGTTGGCACAGTGGCAGGTCAAGCATGAGCTTTGTGTTGCTGGACTCTCACATAGGTAAATGTCACCTTTAAGCAGCCATAGCTTGCAGGGCTCAGGGCAGGAAGGCAGTGACTGGAACCGTAAGCAGACAGCTGGGACTGGCATCCTGGACTCACTCTGGTAAGAAGCTGCCGTGCAGGTGCTGGGCGCTCTGTCTTCCTCTTGGCCATAGAGGCTGTTGTCTCTGGCACAAAGACCTGCTGCTGGGCCTGGCCCACCTTGCAGGGCTGTTGTGAGGACGGCCTGAAGCCTTAGGTGTAGGAGCTCCACACAAGTCTATGGGTGGTTGTCCAGGGCGTGCCCTGCGCCTCACTGTTTGGTGCATGCAGTCCTGCTGAGTCAGCATGGAGAGCCATTTGGTGGCTTCTGCTTCGTGGGTTGGTGAATTGTGAGGCATAACCTCTGCCAGAATCAATCCATTTCAGACCTTGGGGACAAAGTTCTCAAAACTAGTAGGCATTTAGTCTTGGGCTAACTAACCCACTAAAGGATTAAAACGATTTCCTGGCTATCCTTTGGAGTTCCATGGCTCTGAGCTGGAGCTGTGGGCTAACAGGGTGCCCAATTCACAGGTGAATGCTCGCTAGGCAAAATGTGGAGGACCTGTGGGTGTGGGTGCACAGACCAAGAGAACACAGGATTAGAAATAAACAGTTTTGAATAGATGACTACATGGTAAATTTGCAATTTTAGCCAGAGACTCAGGCTGTTGAATGAAGTAGTAGCTTGTCATTGCCTCTCCTGGGGCCTCTTGAACTTGGTTGAGAACTTGGGACAGGTCTGTGGATGGGGAGAAGCACAAGTTAATTTTCAGAACCAACACCTTGAGTGGGAGAGTCGTGCACCTTCAGAAGGTCCCTCACTCTTGGGTCATGGCTGACTACTTCTACCCTGAACCCTTTCTGAGCCTTCTGTGCCTGGGCCAATGAGTGGGGAGATGCAGAGTTCCCAGCTCCAGCGGGTAGAGTTCATGATGTGTCTCCCGGCAGGATTTGGAGGCTTGCAGCAGCTGCGTGTCCTCCTGAGTGCCCCTGTACCCTCATTCCCACTGCTTCCTTCTTGTCTGTTTGCCATAAGTCACTTGCTATCCTCACAGCATGTACAGTCCTGGGTGGGCTGAGTCCCCATCAGTGACCGTGGCTTAGGCCACTGCAAGTGTGAGTGGCTGAGAGTGCTCAGGGCATATACCCAATGTCACCAGCCACATGGACCTGTGGGGGAAAGTGGGGGAATCTGGCCTCCTTTCCGTCTTGCGAAGGAAAAGCCATGCTATGGAAAGATAAACCGGGAAGGAGGGCATGCACTTGCAGACCTTCCTGTTACAGGTCAAGGGTGACCGGTTCCTGCCGAGGAGGTCACAACCGGAAGGAGCAGCTGGACCTGAATGTTCATGAAGCCAAGCCCCCAGGCCTGCATTCAGTCCCGTGTGCTCTCCTCTTGGAACACACTTTGCTCAGTCTGCCACATGGTGAGTTCTTGCACGTTGTTTGGAACACGGTCGGCAGTTTCCCTTAATGCAAACTTTCTGCAAGGGTCTCATAACCATCTGGAAGGGATCTGCCTAACACTTAACCTTTCAACAAAACTTTAGTAAACTTTTTTTTTTATTTATTTTTGAATCAGAGAGAGAAAGAGAGAGAGCGAGAGTGAGAGAGAAAGAGGAATCTTCCATCTACTGGTTCACTTCCCAAGTGGTAGCAAAGGCCAGGGCTGGGCCGGATTGAAGCCAGGAGCCAGGAGCTTCTTCCTGGTCTCCCACATGGGTGGCAGGGATCCAAACACTTGGGCCCTATTCTGCTGCTTTCCCAGACCTTTAGCAGGGAGCTGGATCAGAAGTGGAGCAGCTGAGAACCGGTGGGCACGAACCGGTGCCCATATGAGGTGCCAGCACTGCAGCAGTGTCCCTACCTGCTGTGCCACAACACTGGCCCCTAACAAACCGTTCACTGAGCTTTCACTCCCTTCAGACACCAGCCTCCCCGGGCACCTCCCGAGTCGATTCTTCCTCCATCCTCTGGGGGCACTGTGTCAACAGGAGACCGGCAGCAAAGTGGCAAGGGCCAGTGGCTCTCCTGCCTCCACAGACTTGGGAAGGGCCAGAGCAGAGTCCAGGGCGTAGCCGGCCTTTGTCCTCGTAGGCAGTCTGCTGCGGCTCCTCCACAGCGGCTGGTGAAGGCCATGGGTGGGTACAATGCCAGCCACCTGCAGCCGTTCATCCTGGTGGGCTTTTCTGACCGGCCTGGCCTGGAGGTCATTCTCTTTGCTGTGGTCCTGGTCTTCTACGTCCTGGCCCTGGTGGGCAACGCTGCCATCATGCTTGTGTCGGTGCTGGACACCAGGCTGCACACACCCATGTACTTCTTTCTGGGGAACCTGTCTTTCTTGGACCTCTGCTTCACCACAAGCATCGTGCCCCAGCTGCTGTGGAACCTGTGGGGACCAGAGAAGACCATCACCTACCACGGCTGCGTGGCCCAGCTCTACATCTACATGGTGCTGGGCTCCACTGAGTGTGTCCTACTGGCTGTCATGTCCTATGACCGTTACGTGGCCGTCTGCCGGCCCCTGCACTACACGGTGCTCATGCACCCGCGTCTCTGCCTACAGCTGGTGACCATGGCCTGGTGCTGTGGCTTTGTCAACGCGTTTGTCATGTGTCCTCAGACGGTACAGCTCTCACGGTGTGGGCGCCGCAGGGTGGACCACTTCCTGTGTGAGATGCCTGCTCTCATCGCCATGTCCTGTGAGGACACCACGCTGGTGGAGACTTTTGCCTTTGCCCTGGGGGTTGCCCTGCTCCTGGTGCCGCTCGCCCTGGTCCTCACCTCCTACGGTGCCATTGCCGTCGCCGTGCTAAGGATCAAGTCCAACGCAGGGCGCAAGAAGGCCTTCCACACCTGCTCCTCCCACCTGACCGTGGTCTCCCTCTTCTACGGAACCATCATCTACATGTACCTGCAGCCGGCCAGCAGCTACTCTCAAGACCAGGGCAAGTTCCTCACCCTCTTCTACACCATCGTCACGCCCAGCATCAACCCCCTCATCTACACCCTCAGGAATAAGGACATGAAGGGGGCGCTGAGGAGGCTCCTGGGGTGGGAAAAAGGGGGTGGGGAAGACTAAGGGAGATGCCCTCGCATAGCCTGATCCTCATGTCCCTATCACACTGGGGACTGAGGTGCTGTGGAGTTTGTTTGTTTGTTTATTTGTTTGTTTGAGTTCGGAGTGTTTGCTTATGCATAAAGAGGTATCTTGGGGAGGGGACCCAAGTCTGAGCAAGAAATTCATCTGTGTTTCCCGTGCATCTTACATGCGCAGGCTAAAGGTGATTTTATGTCATATTTCCAGTGCACCTGCATTTTGACTGTGGCCGTCACTGTGATAGGAGTGGAATTGTCCACTCCTGGCATCCTGTCAGTGCTCAAAGTTTCAGGGTTTGAAGCATTTTGGGTCTTTGGATTATGGATGCCCGATCTTTGTAGATGGTTTTCTAGACTTCTCTCAGAGCTGCTGTTATCAGGTAAGAATTAATGCTCAGAGTAGAGTGAACCAGGAAGCACCGTGCTTGTGAGGTTGGCCCAGCCCTGCCCCCCGCTGTTCACCTCCTCCTGCTGTAGGTGTCTGCAGGTGCCTCCATGCCAAATTCTCCCTCAGCATCTGGAGTCAAAACTGCCCAGGATCCACTGTCTTTATAGAGCTCACTTGTCACAGGTGATGGACAGATTTAGACCATTGTTTTAGAGAGAATAAAAATCCCACTTCTCATCTCCTCTGGGACCTGCCTGCAGCATTCAGGATGTTTGCCACATTTACCGGGAGCAAATGGTGCAGCAGACCAGCCTGGGGAGGTGGTGTTTGAGGTCAGACCAGACGTTCTCCCAGCAGCTAGCCCTCGGAGCCTCTGCATCATGGGGGCAGAGACCCCCTCCTTAGGGGATTATGGTAGATTAAGCAAGGCCACGTCAGCAAGGGCAGGTGGTCTCTCCATCACATTTACCTTTCTTCTCATGGATAGGGAAATCCATTCCTTTGGGCACCTTGCACAGATGTGATTCTCCTTGTTTTCAGCAAAGCTCTGCTTCGGTGTTCTCTGGCTCACTCTCTGTGTGGTGGAAATGTTGTCTTCCAGAGTCAGGAGTCGCCCCAGGCTGGCTCCTCATGCCCCTCACCTGCTCAGGACTTTGCTGCACAGGTTAGTGTCCAAGCGTAGGCGTGGGCCGCACAGTGGAGATGCAGACAGAACTGTAGAGGATGCCCTTTTGCGCTTTTGGACTATGGGCAGAGTAAGTCCACCGAGTATGATCGAAGCTAAGTCTGTGAGATAACAAAATGTCCAGATGGAAATGGAAAAAATATTTCAGAGTCATTCAACCAAAGGTTTTGGAGATATTAAGAGGAAAGTATCTAGAAACCCTTCTGCTCTGTCACTCTCCTGTTGTGAAGGTGGTTGTGGGGCCTGTGGGAGGCACCTGCTCTTTACTGGGGAGCCGACACTGCAGGAAGGTGTGATCTGCTGGGGCGGCCAGGCGACAGCTCAGCCCCTCTGGTAGGACACCCGGGGGATGCTACCATCCTGCAGCTGTGGTCACACTGGCTGTTCCCCAGACTGGCCTGTGCTGTCCTCACTCCTCATGGCTTTTCTCTGTCTGGGTCTGCTACAGGGGCCTGGCAGGGCCTCTGTCACCTTCACAGCTCCTGGGAAATGCAGACTCATGCCCTCTGCCCTCCAGACCTGTGAGCAAGCGTCTCTGAGAATCAGTCTCCAAGGTTTAATTTTTTTTAAAGATTTATTTTATTTATTTGAAAGATAGAGTTACAGAGAGAGAGAGAGAGAGAGAGAGAGGTCTTCCATCTGCTGGTTTACTTCCCAAATGGCCGCAACAGCCAGAGCTGAGCTAATCCAAAGTCAGGAACCAGGAGCTTCTTCTAGGTCTCCCATGTGGGTGCAGGGGCCCAAGGACTTGGGCCATCTTCTACTGCTTTCCCAGGCCATAGTAGAGAGCCGGATTGAAAGTGGAGCAGCCAGGTCTTGAACCAGTGCCTATATGGGATGCTGGCACTGCAGGCAGTGGCTTTACCTGCTATGCCACAGCACCCCCGCCCCCCAGGGTTTAATTTTTTAACAGCAGATGCTCAGCTGGTGCTTCCTGATGCAGAATTTCAGAATGTCCTACAGTAGGACAGCTGACGCTACCTCAAGTCTGAAAATCCCCTGCAGGCTTCTGCTGAGCTTTTCGACACTGACATCTGCTCTTCCATCTCACACCAGACACGTTCATGTGAGAATGAATGGTGGGGTCCATTCAGAAGAAAGCAGAGCCCTCCACCCTCTGGACGTGTCTGCTTTTGGGGAGGCAGAGAAGACGCCTCCCATGCTGGAGTCCCTGATCACGGGGCTGGCGGAGCCCTTCTTCTCTTCCACCAGCACGAGCGGACCCCACTCCCAGGGGTTTGCAAGTGGAGTGAGCTCCGGGCCACAGGAGACCTGTGGAGAACTTGCACACATTTAAATAATTGTAAATTCAAAAGTTAGTGTCCTTGCAGGCAGGGACAATGTAATTTTCTACTGTTTCTTCTCCTACGATGCTTTGCACAGTGACTGTCAATTTCATAACAAGAATAAAAATGAGAAATAAAAATCAAGCTTCACTATAACCAGTCTGAAAACAGTATGTGGTTCCTTGTCTGTGGTATTTATAAGTGATACACGTATCTGATGTCCTCGAATTCTAGCTTTGAGAAAATACTTGGGTATTACTAAGGATGAATAATTAATCATTCACATACTGAGTGATTTGTCACTTCTTTCACTCTTTCCCTCTTCACTCAGCAAGGGCTCTGCATGACTAGGACAATGATGATGAAACTGTGAGTGATGTAAGGAAAATGCAGGGCTCGTCTTGGGCACTGAAGTTTTGTTTTCCTGTACGAGATGGTATCCCGTTTGTGTATTGAAACACGAACAAGGTGGAGGGTAAGCAATGGGAAGAAGGTGCCACAAGCAAGGAATGGAGAGGGTGTTGTAGGCCAGGAGAAGACGAAGGCGCTGTGGGCCCAGGGGCTGCACGTTTGTATCTAAGGCTCCTAGGGGGCGGCTGGGGCACAGGCAAGGGCTGCTTTTGGACACCGTCCCCTCACACTAAGCTGAGGAACTGGGACTTTATTTTGCCCAACACAGAGAGGAAATGAGTGCCTTTAGGAAAGACGGAGGCATCATTTGTATTTTGCAGGATGGATCTTTTGCTGCCATTCAAGGCATTTCTTAGACAAGAGGAGGAAAAGCCTTTTGATGACTCCAGAGAGAAGCTGTGAGAATTTAATTAAGAACACCATCGTGCTGATGAGGAGTCAGTTGGATTTTGGGAATTCAGGAGAATGGAATGATCAGGACTTGGAATTTGCTGGGAAGTGGGACAGCAGAGGGAGGACCTGGATGATCCCTGGGTCAGGCCTGCTTCCCTGGGTGCGGAAGGACCACACTTCAGGGTGGCTGAGCAGTTGATTTTAATCACAGGTTCAGAATTAGCACTTTTCTCCCAAGTAGAATGATCTTAAGAATCATTATTTTAAGACTGAAAGAGCAAATCCCATAGAACTAAAGATCTCAGGCTCAGAGAGTCCTCTGGGGACAGTCCCTGAGGAGAAGGGTTCATTAAGCCCCAGGCTGTGAATTGGGCCATTAAGAAGTTTGGGCTGCTGTTGCCTGGGCTGGGCCTCGGAGGGCCATCCTCCTGGAATGATCCCTAAGGCCTGGGGGATGACGCCAGACACAGTGAGAGCTCTGTCTTGCATTCAGCAAGTCTGGAGTCCCATTGCCCTGTGTGCAAGGAGCACCCATCCTTGGGTCTTTCCTCACTTGTCTGATGCAATTCAGTGAGCAGCAAAGCCCTGGGGATCACGCCATATGATTAATAACAAGCTCAGCACTGGGGTGGTAAATCAGCTCAGTAAGCTGCCCACTGTGAACAGGTTTCATTTTATTACCCAGGCTGTTTCACTGAAGTGACCATGCCCCTCCTTTGCCTTTGTTTTGGAGACAGAATCACTCCAACAACCCGAGCACCAAGTGTCCCGGTTCCACCCAAGTCATGGAATCACACCACAAACAGAGCAACAAGTGTCCCAGTCCCACGCACATGACGCAAAGGGACCGAGACAAAAACCCGGGCATTCCGGCTTTAGTTCTGTGTTCCATATCTAGAGAAATAAATGAATTTCAGGTCTGATGATTCCTGCCAGACATTGTTTTCTCAAGAGTAAACATATAAACCCTGTATATGTGTCGTTATGGATACCCATGTAAGGCTTTATTCAGCTTGTTTGGCGGTTTATTTTTAAATTTATCACAAAGCACAGCTGTAGATTTGTTGGTGAGCAGGTCTGTGAGTTTCGTGTGCTCACACATACATTTACGTACTCACTGCCAAGATGAAGACACAAATAGCTCCACTGCCCAACAAGTGCCACTGTGTGGGCTTCCGCAACACCCTCCCTCCCTACCCTTGACTCTGGAAACCACTCACATTTCTAACACCACAGCCTATGTCTTGGAAATGATGTGTAAACATAAGAGTAAGGTACTGTGGTTGAATTTAAAGTTGTTTCTTCTCTAACCAGCAGAATCTGTGGCATCAATAGTTCATTCCTCGTGTTTGCTGAGTGGAATTCTGTTGTGTGGGTGACCTCAGTTTGTGTATCTGTTCATCGGTTGAATGATATATGGGTTGCTTCCAGTTTTGGGAATTGTAAATAGAGCTGCCATAAACATTTGCCTGCATGTTTCCATGGAGAATCAGATCTGGTTTCTGTAGGGCAAATACTCGGGAGTGGGATTACAGGGTCGTGGCAGAAGTGCACCTTTATAAGGAAATGCCAGGCTGCTCTCCCGGTGGGGCCCTGATGCATGCCTCCAGCAGTGTGAGTGTTCCAGGCACTCTGTGCCTTCATCAGCACCCAACAGTGTCAGTGTTTCATTTTAGCTATACTGATGGATGTGCAGTGGCATTTCAGTGTGGTCCTAGTTTTCCTAATGCTTGACGATATTGGATATCATTTCTTCTGTTTGTCACCCATATATACTTTAAAATTGGCTCAAATGTTTGCTCATTTAAAGAATTAGGTTG